CAAGATACTATGCAACGTCCTGAACACTTCGTCCATACATAGTTAACCACTAAATGGTTTATTTCTTGACCAACAATGTGTCGGTATTGGAAAAATTACTCACCCCTATAACACCCCGTTTACACCCTGTAGGGCAGGTCAACCTTGATATTATCGACATACTCACTACGCCCCACTGTTCCACGGTATAAGTCTTATTGATAAACATCGTACGACACAAAAAGGAACACCGCCCTTTGTACCAGGCTAAAATTTTATGGGAGTGAAGGGCCGTAGACCCATTATTGAAGGAGATGGGGCAAAATAGTTTGGAGCAATATTGTTCCCCTTGGAACGCTGTACAACTTTGTTGAACATACCCAAGTGATAGCCCCTGCCCCAGCTCCAGAAAATGGGTATAATATGACTTTTTCACCCAAAAAATTAACGTTTTTTCATGTAACGGTGCTTTTACTTTAATATAAACAAATGTGAATGTTATGTATACTGTTGGATAGGTAATCTCAAGTACTTCAATTTTGACCCAAGGAGTGTTGCCCTACCTCCCTTAGTTAGGGAGCCATGGCCCTCGAAAGTGATGCCTTCATTTTGGAGGTTATCCATATAACCCCCTTTTTAACCCATTTCCCTTCGATTTAGGGGTTGGGTACCTATATATAATTGATCTACGCACTGTGCCCTTTAAGATAGTATACGTCACATCTCTATACAAAATGGCCCAAGTTCCATACAAAACGGGACACGGTTCTTGACTATCAAAAACGGAAAAGGTCTAGCCAGACCCGGGAGCATGAACGAGGGTTAAAATTATATGTATTTTACAAAAATCACAACGATAATATATTACACTCTCAGAAATAATCGGGAAATTGTCCCAAATTCTGGTAAAATGAGAAATTCATAGTTGTTCAGTAAAATGTGATTGAAATCGTGTACATTTACGATTGTATTGATTACAAAATTTCTGTCAAATTCGCACATTTTCACGGAAAACCGTGAATGTCATATTTTAATATATTTTACGAGACAACTTCACTACTATTTCCAACAGTGTATAACTGCAGATAATAGAAATTAGCGTACTATTGGTATTCTATATTTTTAGAAACACATGCTTGCACGGAAAATTATTCCGTACTCTTAACTTATTGTCTAAGTAACATATTACATGGTGCGAATGACAGTTGTTTCGTTTTCATTTTGATGACAAGACTTAAAATCTGTTCATCTACAGTTTTTCCTTTTTATTGGCAAAATGAAACCTTACGAAGCCGATGGAAGTTTATTGAATAATGCAGGGCCTCGAAAGTACGTAGCATATTTATGTACGCTTCGAAATTTCAATGCAGCGTTGTTTTAATGAATTTTTTTAAAGTCCTATTTTCGTGTATGTTCGGTGTATTTTAGAGAAATCTGCCGCTTTTCAATAAACTTTCCCTCTGATATAATTGTTTGTATACGAATGGTTGCGGAAAATTATTCCGTAATATATTTCGAAAAAGATTTTGAACAGTGTGTTAACCCTCTAATGCATTAATTTTTCCCAGGGCTGGGAGTATTGGTACTTGGTTGATTTTTGACCATAGATAGTTGAAAAAATATTCATAATCCTGGATTCCTCATGGTTTAGTCAGGAAATGCGATTGACACAAATCAGAGAACAATCAAATCCATTGATTAAAAGTGTTGAAAATGTGTCTAATTTGGAGTTCGAATAATTTATTTTGTCAAATTTTTGTTTTTGCACACATTTTTGTTTATAACACGACAACCACTTGATGTACACTAATAGTGCAAAGGACAAAATTATAGAGGACAACTTGAAAAATAAAATGTGATCCAACGTACGGTTTACGTTATACAGGCGTTCAAATGTTGCCCGTCCAGAGGCGGTTGTATGCATTAGAGGGTTAAGGAAAAAAAAGAAAAACAATATATTGGTTTTCAACAAACAGATATTTTGCATGTATTTATATTATTAGACATTCGTATACAGACAATTAGACCGGAGGAATAATTTATCTTACGAATGCTTGGAGGGAAAATGCGGCACATTTTGAAATAACACTCCATAACACAAATCAAAGAGAAATAAAGGTATTTTTTGAAGTGAAACTTCGACCGAAATGCTTTTTTAAACAATGTAAATTAATTTGCTCCCTGGTAAATGCCTATTAGCAACAAACATGTGTGCCACGGTAGTCAAAACTGTAAACACTATACACGGTGATCGATATAGGAGTTCGTGTGTTATTTTTAGTTTAACTTCTTACTATATGTGGCGCTGGTGTTAAGTGTCAAAAAATTAAGCATCCGGCTAGCATGCATTGTCGTAGTACAAAACGTCGGGTGTAATTTCTCCGGCGGGGCGCTGCTGCTTCTGTGGGAAATCACTCTTTTCAATCACTTTTCATTGAAAAGTGATAGTTAGAGAAAATGTAATTTGGAAAGTAATTACCAGAAAGAAGTAATAGAAGAGGTAATATTTGACATTTTGGATGTAATTTATGGTCAAAAATTACTTTTTGCAACTACTTTTTTCGTTGCTATTACCTATGCAATTACTTTTTTTGTCGTTCAATTACCGCTAATTTTACAATTACTATTTTGATCGATCGGAGGGAAAGTTTATTGAACCGTCGAGACAACTTCGCTATTATTTTCAACAGTGTATGCCAATAAAATCATGAAAATATTTTCATAAAAACACTTCGCGAAATAGGAAATGCAGATGACAGAAATTAGCGTACTATTTGTGTTCAGTATTTTTAGAAACACATGCTTGGACGGAAAATTATTCCGTACTCTTCACATTTTCTCACAAAAAATTATGATATATTATAAATTACTACACACAGGGAAGAATGGTTGAGATTTTTGGTACAATTGATTTTCTTTTTCGTAAAAATAATACAAAATTAAAATATCTAAGACAAAATTGATTTTTCAGAGAAAATTAGTTTGAAGCAAAATAAATTTTGTGTTAGATATCTTAATTTTGGATTATTGTACCAATTGTACCAAAAATCTCAACCATTCTTCCCTGTGTGTGTATATTAACATACCTAAAAAATTACGGCCTATTTTGATACAAGTTCAAAAAAATTGGCCAACTGTATGTGCGAATGATTCCTGATGATAAATGAACAGAATGGGTCAGAATCTACATTTCTCGGCGATATGAAATTTCGTTCAAATCGATTTTTTTTCTTATTTCTTTATGCACATACAAGGTGAAACAAATAGCATTTGTAGGGGACGGAATTCTAGTATGAACACTATCCATACTGAGGGAAAAATATTATCCATAGCGTACAGAAACTTGTAACGTACTTTCTCTATCGTGAGTTATTACGTAAATTTCCGTTAGGTTACGTCGACTTACGTCGAGTTCCGTCAAGTTCCGTCAAATTCCGTCAAATCCCGTCAAGTTTCGTCAAGTTCCGTCGCCTTCCGTCAAGTTCCGTCGAGTTCCGTACGGATACGGAACTGAATTTGTTCCGCAGACCTCCGTCCCCGCACGGAACCTGAACGGATTCCACACAGACGCGGAACTCCGCGGAACAGAGGGAGCTATGACATTTACCCAGAACGAATGAAGCCATAATTTTTCGAACTGAAACTGCAGTGCTCGTCCAGCTCTTGTGCAGATTATTTCATGAAGCGCAACAAAAAGGAATGGTATGTATGAATTATGTAAACTTTTATTATGAACATACATGTTTTGCATTTGAGAAAAATATAGCTAGATGCTATTATTTACTAAACTCTGATCATTTTGATGTATTATTTTATTTTTTAATTGTAATTTTCACATTTTTGTTCAACTGAAATATCACAATATCCTATGTTTATAAAATAACCCATACGAAAGCAATATATTTTTAATGTTTTTTTCTTCTTCGAAAATATCAATTTTTATACGTTATAAAATATATGAATGACTGCTGATGTATTTCTTGAAACATTTTCAGATATTTTTATTTATTATAAGTTGGTTAAGTATTTTTATCAACTATAAACTAACTAGTGATTTTGATGGTTCACTCGTAGGCGTTGCAAGGTCTAAGGGACTTTTATTTTGAGATGGGCATGATGGCATTGCCACGGGAGTCAACCCTGTTCCACCATCCATTAAACTATCAAAATTGAATGCCACTACATTTGAAGGTGTTGTTATTTGCACCCCAGCCATATCTGCAATATTTTTATGTAGGCCAATTGTCTGCGAAGGAGGGGCTGTGAACGGTACATTCAAAGAGCTAGGTCGTGCAATTGGCTTAGAAGTGCCAGGAATTGCTGAGTTTATTGTTGGATTTGCAATGGCCCCTATAACAGGGTTTGCGCCTGATATGAGATGTTTGGTCGGTGATGGTACCTCTTCATATGCTGAGTCATCCACTTCAACTTTTATTTTACCGATCAACGGCATACGAATTGGTTCTTTGAATTCGATTTTAGATTTTAATTCCACCACTTTTGTGAAGCCACCAATTTGAAGCTTGCATTGGCTGCGATGTGACTGCAAAAGACACTCTAAATCCTCTTTTTCAGCTTGAAGATCTTGTATATCACGCTGCAATTTGTTTTTTTCACTTTCCAGTATGAGCACTTTCTCCAATAGCTCATTTGTTTGATCAACTCGTCGTTTACGACATCTTGCTGCTGCCAATTTATTACGTTCTCGGCGAACTCGTCGTTTCTCTTCTTCTTCGGGCGATAAATTCGCGGAATTTTTCGGTCTTCGACCACCCATATTGCGTTTCGAGATGTTTCCTGCAATTACATAAATATCGAGGTTTTTTAAATTATTGTTCTTTTTTGGAAATAATATGTATTGTATACCTTTGACAGATGCAATCTCAGAAAAATTGGTTTCGAATGATGTTTCTTGATTTGGCGGTGACGTATGCCAAGATTCGCTAGAATTTGAGTCAGAAGAACCTAGACTGTGTTCTTGAGATTCAGGTTCAAACTGAAAATTAGGTAATGGTGGCGGTACAAATCCCGCTTGACAAGGTACCGTATTAGATGTATCGTTGGTTAACTCCAGAAAAGTCTATGTTTTTGCAATATATAAATAACATTTTTAAAATTAGTATTCAAAATTAAAAACGGATTGAATATAAAATTTGGTAAAAATTTTAGTGTCATCTGCTCTGATTTACAGTTCGATTAGAAAAACCACATATAAATAATCATGGGTTTTTTCAAATATTTTTTCCACTGAACTAAGCAAGAAGAAGAATAAGAAACTGTCGGATGCGTTGCGACACCGCCATGTTTGCGATTTTCTGGTCTGGCATCTTGAATCAATGGTTGAAATAGTATGTTTTTTTCGACTTGTCTTTTTGTTGATAAAATGAGTATGTTTCCGTCTAGAAAATTAGAGTAGTCAACGAGCGCTTGCTCGTTAGTTCGCATACGAAAATGTTCGTTTATTTCGTAGCTTCTCTGGCTAACAACGAAAAATAGACCCTGATGAATTATTCTTATCGAATTCGAAAAATGAATAAATATATTGTTTCGTCGATTTCCAGGTATTTGGAAAATTTTGCATATGGTTATTTTGCTCGAGAGCTTACCCTTTACACACTCAATATTATAGCGACATCTATTATTAAAATAGCTTGTAGTAAACGCATTCATAGCATTTCACTGTAGTTGCGATGTTACCTATTAAATTCCCCTGTGGTATGTAGTTAACAAGTGTCAAACATGAATGTGTCAGTACTACAAGGGAACTTAATAGGAAACATCGCAACTACAGGGAAATGCTATAAATGCATTTACTACAAGCTATTTTAATAATAGATGTCGCTATAATATTGAGTGTGTAACGGTAGCATGGGTAGCATATATGAAAATAACATACATATCTTTATAAATTATTATCTAATTGACATATTATGGTGGCCATCAAACCTACCCGACAGTCCCCTAAATATTCGATGTTGAAAAATTGTATGTTGATTCTAACATACCTGTTCAATATTTCGTAATGTAGTCGGTGTTAATGTGGAAGTAGTTCTAGTCGGTACTCCGCTGTGAATCCCGTCTAAAGAGACAAGCTGTAAATATAGAAATTACATATTCCTTTAGTATTCATGTCCACAATAAACAGGGCAAAGTATCGATATCAAATTTTTATACGTTTGGCGTACGGTACCATGAAGTGGAGATTTACTATAAGTAAAAATCAATGTTCTATACTTGCAAATGTCTACTACACAATGAGTAACTATTAAATATATAATGTTTTACTGTAAATTTTAATTCAATGAGTTGTTCATCTGCATTGGCAACGAACAAAGACTTTAAACGTTTTCAAACAAGGGTGTGAGTCACACCGTGTGACAAGCAACTTGTATTTATCAAAAGAATTGTTATCAAATTTATTTCTCGTGCCGAAAGCAACCTTAAATAACTGGCTTAATATTTTAATTTTTGCAGGAAAATGACGAGAAGGATCATGAAAAACCTGATATTTTCGTGTTTTAGACAGTTTAGTTACAATTAGAGTATTACTACATAGATAGTTTTGATTTAAATAGTTCTAATTATTGTTTCCCAACTTTTATGGGAATTTGATTTGTGAATGATGTAATAAATAAGACCTAACCAAAACATGGAAATAAATAAAGGCAACCGCATATCAACGGTCCAATAAAGCCTAACTTAAATGTGTGAAAATGAAAGACGAACTGAAGCGTTGAACATTGTAATAACGGCCTATATGACTGCAAAAGTCGTCGTTCAATATATGAAAGAAAGGTAAAAGATAAGTTTTACGTCTAATCTAAAAAAGTTCCTCTTGGTAGTTTCGAATTTATGTAGAACAGTAGGAGAAGGTTGATGTAAAAGGAAGTACAAAGAGCACATTTAAATTGATCCGAAATTATTTTCATGGAATCTTTTGTAGAAGAATATATCGGTGGTACAATATGCAACACAAACTTTGTAATTTCAATTGAAATAAACATAAGAAAAGAATATATTTATGACAATGTTGTTTCCTATTGTTCGAAAAATTTTAATTCCTAATTAAAAATGATACAATTGGAATTTTTATTAAGTTTCAAAGAGAATCAAATTGAAAACATCAAATTTTTCTGAATTAATTTACATTTTTGTGTGAACAAAACGTCAAAAATAAATGACGACCATCACCATTGAAAACCCTGTTGGAGAAAACATGCAAAAAATAATCAGTTTGTCAATTTCATCTGTCTACGCGCAGCACACAGTGCACCTCACTTTTCAATTAACGATAACTTGGTTCATTTGACATGAGAATATGCACAACAACTCTTCTTAAGATGTATATACAGATTTATATAAAGAATTGCTTACCATCTTCGAAACTGGAAACAATGTGGATATAATATTTTTCTATGGTTTCGAAAATATAGACAACAATATTTTCGTCAAATGTCAATCTCAAATACTTTTTTAATCCAAAAATTGAACACAGCAAAGGACTAAAATGGACGATATTGCGTCGTGTTTTGTTCTGTTCTGTTCTGAATATTTATTGCGTGTCTCTTCGGAACAACTCAACAGAAATTAAGTGGGAAGTATAAAACCGCATACACACACTATATTTTTTACAAAATGCTTTCATTTACAGACTTTTGATCTCAAACTCAACTATGATTATTTTGAAGCACTAATTTTTTTTGCGTAACTTCAGTTTCTAACATTGAAGATTAAAAATTCTTTGCAAGAAATTACAGATTTAGAACATAAAAATTGCAAAAGTTTTTAAAAATAGTAGTGTGTTGCAGAACTGAACGAAAATGTAATTGTTTACAGATTCACAATTTTTTGGGCGAAGTTGTTGACGAATGTACGAACATTTTAATGGTTCAAGCTCAAAAGAATAATAGTATGATAACTTTTCAATTGATTTTTTGCGTGATTCGATTGATTTTTTTAAAATCTGGACTTCGTGTTAAATTTGTCAATCAACACAAAATGAATGAATTTTTTAAACTTCACACTTGAAATATCGCACTGACTCTGATTTGAAAAAAATATCACGGAATTTCAGGCTTAAAACTCCCAATTGTTCTTATTTTTGTTATCAATTCAACCTACAAAGTGTGACTAAACCGATGCGTCATCAACATGCTTGTTTTATATATGTGCTTGACATGGTGTGAGTTCAACCATGATATTCACTAGGTTTGTCGTCGTGTTTTCTTGTCTCTTTTCCACTTGTGTTCGCTTATCCATATGATTTTTTGTTCCATTTCAAGTCGTATGACGTAAACAAATAACAATGTTGATATATTCACATGAATATGAGCCTGTACTTCACTGTAAAATTTTCAACTTATGATGAAATGGCCGCGAAAATTGTGGAAATAAAAGAGAAAAAATGAAATTATTCACAAAAGAGTAGCACTGATATATTTTTTTAAAAATAAAATGAAAATAAAAATACTAGAACAATAGCTGATATTAAATGAGTATCAACGCGTCAATATCTGAATGGAAGTTTGGTTTCAAATCAATCGTATCAGTTTAGCTACATTGCCTTTTGGTGTGAATTGTTAATGTGTAAATTTGTCGTAGTTATAAACGTAATTCAGGCTGTGAGTCATCACACAACGTTGGTGACGAATGCCTTTATTCTTAAAAAGCGTATGCTGTTTTTCGTTCAAAAATATGAATCGAAAAATGCGAAACGTTTAAAACTGAATTAAAAATTGCATCGTTTACGAACAACAATCGTGATTTAATTTACTTGAATGTGTGCGGTTTTTTTATTAAACTTTCAAGTGCATGAACAGTGAACACAAACACGCACGCACACAAACACACAAACATTCATTCACGGATTTCATTTATTGCTATTTCAAATGATTATACGAACATGTACATGTGTATATGTTAACCGCTATGTATTTCTTTTCGGAGAAATCAAAATAAATTCTTGGAAATATGCACGAGTCATCAATATGAAAATACATACATATGTGCAGTCAATGTGAATTAAAGATACATTCCCTGAATTCAGATCATCGTTTGAATTGTTGATTTACAAAAGTTTTTTATTTACACTGATATCAATTGGCATTTATAAATCTTGAAAAAATCCGCTTGAAATTTTTAGTTTTGTTCCCTATTTATACTTTTTCGCAAATGTTTCAGTAACACCTAATTAACATTTATTAGTGAGGTTTGAAAAAACCATTTTTATCATTTGTTCTTCTTCTATTTCACACGTGCAAATGGTAATTAATCTATCCATTCTTTATTATTATTAATGAACCATCAACCAGATAATAGTTGAACAGAATGGTGGCCGATTGAATTGGAAAACACAATCGCCAGCCAGAAAATCCTACGAAAAGGTTTTCACACAAATAGTGTATTAAACAGTGTGACTGAATGTAGCTTATCAACATTGAATGCTGCGTTCTATTCAAATTGATGTAGTAGTTCCACGCGAGTCTTTATAAAACTTATGGTGAGAAATTTCCACTGTCAAAGTAACCAATAAGCTTTGGTTTTGGGGATTTTAGAAAATAGCCAATTCAACAAGGTAATTAGGTCGATAGTTAACACTTCTTCAAATTGCTTATCATTGAAAGTCAAAGATAAATGATGTTAGTTTTGTTTGTCATTTCTTAGATTTTGAGCACACATTTATTTCGTACTAAACCAAATGAATTCAACATCATATACAAATCATGTACATTGTTTTAACTTACGGCAGATTGAGAAACACTAGATGATTGTGTTGTGCTGCTATCGTCAATTTCATCACTTGATATCGAATCTTCTGATTTTACATCAACCATTTCAAGTTTCATATTGAAATGAATGTGCCAATAGTCGTCTATAAATTCTGCACCCGAATATTCTTCAATGGAATAAAATATATGTTTTTGATCTTTTACTTATTAAAAGGCAAAGCTTTGTTTGCAACAAAACAATACGTGTGATGTGCAAATGTCACCACACCCTGCGTACTTGTATTGGCATTTATACTTAAGAATTCTGTGAATCTGTTCAGGGAGAATATAGATTTTCCTATTTCTAATCTCAAGAAATATTTTTCTTGCTTTCTTACATTCTTAAGAATTGGAAAAAACATGTGAGCTCAGAATTTTCCATTCTCTGGACTATAAATTTAAGTCACTAAATATTATTATTGTGAATCAAATAAAGTAAAATACTTAACGTATTAAGTACTTAGTGTTGCAGTTGAAATTTTTTTATCTATACTATTGTCAACATGAAACGATTGCGGCGATTATCTTTGAATGCAAAAAAAATACAATAAATATTCCAAATTTCCATTAAAATGCATGATATCCAGCTCAGTTTTGGATTGATTTGGTGTGCAGATCGTTAAGTGAAATATATTTGTTCTTGTGAAAATTTCCGATTTGAAGAAGAAAATATGTATGGTGTCATTCGACTAATGCATGAAGCAGCTACTTGTTTCGGAAGCGGTATTTTGGGCTTGGGCTATATGCTCATTAATGAAAATGGAAGTAGAATTTTCAAATATTTTTCATTTTCATCAATTGGTGCCGGCATCATGTACTTTTTGATTCAACGAAATCGTAAGAAAACTGTTAATGAGCGCAACGTAATATTAATCACAGGATGCGATTCCGGATTAGGGTATCTGAATGCTATTTCATTTCAAAATTTCTGGAATAAATTTAATATTTTGATGTTTCTGATAGATTCAACATGGCTCTTTATTGTAATCTGAATTTGAACATGTTTGTTTGTGCGGCATGTTTGAATACCTGCTCAGAAGGAGCTCAAAAACTACTTGATCAATGCAATCCAAAGCGACTTTTGCTCGTTGAATTGGATATCAGAAAGAGTGCTAGTATTTTGCACATTGAGAAAACTATCATGAATCTTCTCTCCAGCGATAGTAATTTAGGTATGGATGTGATTATTTTTTTCCTTTTAAGTTAACAATAATTTCAATTTTTTTCATCCAGAGTTCAGCTATCTAGTAAATAATGCAGGCGTCATGTGTTTTGGTGAATTCGAATGGCAAACAAATGCCATAATCGAACATCAAATAAATGTGAATCTTTTTGGAACAATGAATTTCACCAGAAGCTTCTTACATCTGGCACGGAAATATAAAACGAGAATAATTAACGTTACTAGTCACTGTGCGATAGAGGTGCTTTTCTAAAATTGTGTATTAAGAAATAATTGTATTAGATGAAATGCTTTGGAATCATGTGAATAACTCGTAACGATCTTACACCATAATTGATATAGGCATTACCCGGTCTGGCGACTTATGCGGCCACGAAAGCTGCTCTCAGATTCTGGAGCGATGCTCTCCGCGTTGAAATGAAGAAATATGGCGTAGATGTTGTCAACTTCATTCCTGGCTCACAATTTATGAATACAAGTATAGTATCACGTCAAAAACAATATGCTTCGGAAATGTTGGCAGCATTTACAGATGAACAATTGGAATTTTATGGTGACTATTTTGAACGGTACAACAAATATTTAAGCTATATACCGAACCATTCAGTTCAAGTAATTTCGGATAGTAATTTATTCAACGAATTTGGTAATACAATCCTTGATTATACACCACGGGCTATATACAAATGCGAACCAATCAAGTTAGTATATTTGTACGAAAATTATTCTTACAATTTTCTAACAAATTATTTCGCCTGCATTTTAGATATACCATCTACCACATTTTATTTAAATACAGTCCTGTCTTTCTGCGTGATTTGCTAATCATTAAATTTGTAAATATGCCAGCATACGAAACCAGAGAAGGATTGATCAAACAATAAAACTACTCAACTCAATACGTTATCTTTTTTACTAAAAGATTGACCATACTCTTACATACTTCTTTACTTCATTTAAACTGGTATTGTAGTTAATATTTAAATATCTCAATTTTATGGGTATTTTTCAGGAATATTTATCCATTTGAAAATGTTAAAAAGTACCATTATTACCGGGCAAACCAGGTGTTTGCAGTATAGTTCATACGTTATATCCCATTTTACGATGTATCAATAAACTGAAGCTAAGACAAAATTGGTATAATTTTAAAAGTTTACATTTATTTTATTTTTTTTCAATATTTCGTTTCAAACTTTCTAAAAAAAGTCTGATAGCTTTGGGTACCAGAGCCACCTTGCAAATCGTGTATCTATTGCAACTTGGATATATTTTGTTACAATTTCTATCCGTTTTACTTAATTTCAGTTCTTTAAAACTCGTCAGTGATGATGAAATTACTTTAGAGTTGTATCGAATGCCTTTTCTAACTTGTGTCCTCAATTCAATTCCGAATCGGAGATTTCTCAACTAATTTAGAATATTTTATAACAATAATAGAAAAATGATTGAAGTTCTTGAACTGAAATAAAAGTGGATATGTGATTTATAACTTTGATTTGGATTGGGCGGTAGCACTGGTGGCTAATTGTCAAGATGGATGATTAGTAGGCGATTCATAACGAATATGCATCGAATTCCCATTTCCAGCCTCAAGAACATATCTAATTTCGAGAAAAATAAGAAAATAAAGTTAGTTGAAAAAATCCAGAGAATACTATGGGATATGTTTCGCGCGTTGTGTTCAGTGTAATGCATATATAACAAAGACAGTTGAAAGAAGAAGTGAGCCATCGTTAGTGTGAAGAGTTCGACAGAACATAGCGATATACTGTTCACACTAACGACAATGACGATGCATGCAGATGCACGTACATGTCTTGCTCACTTCTTCTTTCAACTCTCTTTGTTCTACATGCATTACACTCAACACATCGCGCGAAAATTATCGGATATTTTTATGCGTCATTCTGTCCCATCTGAATAAAAATATATCATAGTATTCTGTAAAAAAATCAAATGCGAAACAATAAATTTCGTCGCACCCAATCGATGTATAGAATTTAACCAAACTGTCTTTGCATTCCAATGACATCTTATAGCACCCTAAGAACTCTGCCAATAAAGTTACAGTTGCTACAATCCTATAAAATTGAATTCCATTGCATTATTATTGATTTCATCATTTTAATTTGAGAACACTCACAATTTACCCAGTTGCTTGCCTCTGTAGGTATTATTCACGACAACATCTTCCAATCGAGCTCTCTACGGAAAAATATCGGCATTTAGCAATTGTTAATAAATAAATTTCAGAAAAATACATTGCCGCAACCATGGATGAATTTGTGTTCAATCACAAGAGTAGCACTTCCAATTAGCTGGTTTATGCGCGTATCTTCAATCACTGTCACGAAATAATCACCGCTGTACTTCATTTTATGAAATCGGCCTATATTATATAAAATTTGTAAACATAAGAAATTAAAAAAAAACTTCAAATTTTTTTCACATACTCAAAAAATCATCGCGGGAAATGTTGCCTACACTTGTCAGCTGTGATAACAATTGAAGAAATCCACGATCATAATCACCAACTTGTAAGGGTCGCACTTTAAGCCATGTTTCACCAGTATTGATCGCAGTTATTGGTGGACTAAATTTCGTTATAGAACGACTAAAATCCAATTTCGTTAATAGATTTGCATCATACAGTGCTTCCTCTACCTGAAAAAAATCAAACGCTTGCACTTTGAATCGCTTTTATGAAGTCCATCGTAGTACATTAAGAAGAAAAATGTAAATATACTAGACACGTCGACAGTATTTCAAAACGATTCAAAGAAGATTACATTAAGCGTTGCCCAATTTCAAACATGAAATTGAGTTTAAAAATGGATTTCCCCTTATTTTTCATAAGACATACTTGCCATGTGGCATTTTTTATTATTGTTTTTGTTCAATCGATTTATTCATTCATTTACACCGTCATTTACTGGCTAAATATTTTGGTTTTTTTCAGTAAAAATGTATCTATGCATATATACAATTTAGGGCATAACAATAGTCTACTTCACAAAGCAATTTATGAAAAAATAGTTTTCTAACAGATAAGTTGCAGCCTTTGGAAATAAAATAGGCAAAACAGGTGCAAAATTGACCCTGAATTCAAAATGGAAACACCGGTTTTTCCAGTTATAAGATCAAACAAACCAGACCCACAATAAAATCGTGGATTCAATGTTATGGCTTTTATAGAAAATATGAATAATTTTCCAAAAACTGCTGAGTTTTATTATAATAAATTTCTACCCAACTTTGAATTGTTATAAATTGTTAGAATAGAGATATATTTTATATTAGATTAAAAAATTGAAATAATCATCTATCTATTTCACCTTTGAAAAGGTACTATTCAGTACCATTATGCTTCCGTTTCTTTTAAAGTGAATGGATACTCCGATGAAACGTAACTGATCAAAGTGATTGATATTTCTCTTGAACTCATATATATAGAAAAAAAAAATATATATATATATAAGTATGTTAGTATATACATACAATACATGGAATTCTTCGGTTATGTTCTGTCATTTCTGTGTGTTGTGACATTTTTGTTTTTTTGACAGTTGAACTGTCATTTCAAAAAAGAAAAAAAGTGAGTGTGTTCGGAGTTTGAGTGTGAATTAATCTGTAGAATAATTTTGTGTCAGCCCAAGAAGTAAAAACATGTTCCAGAATTTCCTTAGGAGGAGTCACATAATAAAAGATTTTGTCAAGACGAATCAAATATGCCCGAGAAATTTTTCGATATTATCACCATATCACAAGAGTCACAATGTACTCTTAAAACAGAAGGCTGCGCGTATACCATGTATTCATCCATACATTAGGCGAAATTTTATTGGTTTCGTTCCTGACAGAAAAGATGGTTATAAAACACAGAAAGAAGAACCTGATCTAGAGCACATCAAATACGGCTTGAAGCAATTTAAAAACGAACTTAAATTGTGGACAGAAGAAATAAAAGACACATTACGTGCAGATCCTTTGATGATTTGTCCGCCTGGTTTGTAACATTTTAGAGCTTTTTTCATTAGATTGTCACATTTTTGTAGTAATAAGATCAAGATCATAGTTCCAACCATTACGTGGGCTTTCGCGTATACAGGGCATTTGTGTTTTATGACCCTCTGGTAAGTATATATTACACTTGAATTTTAATTTGTAATGGAAAGAAATGTTTGGAACTTTGGTCAAATGCACCCCAAAAATTATGTGAAGGCATTTGGTATTTGATTTGATAATTTTTGCTTGGATTCTCATAGGCGAGATCGATACGGTCTTCGAATTTGGGAAACAGGAAGACATAGACAAATTCGTTGTAACAAGTGATAGTGACCATAATGAGGGATACAGTCATTGTTCATTGAAGATTAATCAGTCTGGTTACGGTTCATTCAGTGGCATCTTAGATTCAACAGTTCCAAAACAGGGAAAAATATCAAGAGCTGGTTATTGTAATATAACAAGTCTTCGTGTGAAAGTATAATTTTTGGTTGTGTATTTATTTATGATTTTATAATAATCACTTTCTGTCATTCAGAAATCATTTCAACGCGATTCATATTATGATTGGAGCCCATATAATACACTAGTATTGAGAATTCGGGGTGATGGTCGACCGTACTCATTGAATTTGCACTCAGATGGTATATTTGATGTAACATGGCATGATACATATAGTTATATCTTATACACACGAGGTGGTCCACATTGGCAGCTAACAAAAGTAAGTTAGATTTTCAGTTTGTATGTGTATGTTTGGTTCATTTGTTGAAATACAAAATTCAAATCTTTTTTTCTTTTTAAATTTAGATACCATTCTCCAAATTTTATCTGGTTGCTAAAGGATGTATACAAGATAAGCATTGCTATATGTCGAATATTCGCGTTTCACGAATTGGCATCACAGCTGTGGGACTGAACTGGATGGATGGAGAATTCAATTTGGAAATCGACTATATCGGTGTGGAAAATAACCCATACCATACTGAGGAATCATCCTATGAAATGTACAGAGTACCAAATTTCATAGCAGGCACCTAGTGATCCTTAACAATTCTATATAAATCTAGGTTCTTCAATGTAATAGTTTTATTAACTAAAAAAAATTCAACGTTTTTTTTAATCATACAATGAATTAGTGTTTCAAGATGTTTTTATATTTTCGCGTTTTCTTATTAGTTGGTATGTGTCCTTAGAAAAGATATAGCTTGTAGCAGCTGCTGCAGTTGTAACACCAGTAAAATACCACATGCAGACCAGAGTTGAATGATCTATATAGAGATGAAGATTGAAAAAAAAAATTAATAATATGGCTATTCATTTATTATTCAATTGATTATACCCAGTAGTCCATAAACTGGAGCTGCCAAACTAGCGGCAATCGTGGTCAATTGAACTGCTGTATTAACTTTACTGATCAAAGTTGGTTTCAATTTGGCTGTTACGTGTGTTGCATCAAAGTATCGTGTAAGTGTTCTCTAAAGTTATAATAATATTTCAATAAATATTGAAAAGTCGATTACTAATTACTCAGTAGTTTTATATTGTATTTACCGGTGATGGCAAACTTATATATCGAATGACAAAGCCGGCAATAATTAAAAATAAATCACGGAAGATGATCAATCCACATAGCCATGCAGGGAATAAG